TTCCGTTACACTTAATCATACCATTTATGTACAAATATTCCGTCCTTTATACCAAGAGTTAAATAGTTTTCTTTAAAAAGGTATGAGCTGAAAGATGTAACATATCCTAATGCAGAAGTTCTCATGCATTTTGGATTTTGTACTACATAAAAAATAAAACAATATATCTACCATATAGAAGGATTTTCCGATTAAAAATCAGTGCATCATAAATGAAGTGTTGATAATAATAAGAATAAATTAAATTAATATTATTCAGTTATATTTGCAAATAAAGCTTTTACATTATAATAAAATGTAAATAGTGTCTAAGGATACAGAGTAGTATCTATTAACATTTATTATTGATGATAATTATTGCGACGAATGAACCTGTTTCATTGTAACCAATTTCGATATGTCGAGCTTTATCTTCGTCAACTTCATGCATAAATCAGGTTCAGGTTTCAGGCATGCCCTATATTTATTTTTAATTAAAAGCATAGTTGAAAATCCAGTTTCAAAAAGATGTATATTTTAAAGCTTTTCAGCATTAAAATGTCATCGCTTTGTCAGAAATACACTTATATTCATCTCATAAACTTTTTTTTTACAAAAATGTTATCTTCTTGAACTCATTCATGAGATTTCTCTCACATGAGATTTCTCTCACATGAAATATCTAAAATCTGATCCCTTTCTTGAACTGAAACATTAGGTAACAAAGCATCCGAAAGCATCTCTAATTTAGAGAACTACCTATGTTACTGGGTTATGTTACTGGAGAAACTCTTCTAACGTTGGTAATGATGCAACTATCTTGCTTTTCACGTCTTAATCATGTATTCTAGTTTTTCATAGTTGCATTTATTTTGTTATTTACAGTAAAGACAGTTATATTGGACTCTTGTAAGTTATAATTCAGTTCGTACACTTTTTCAAAAATATCGGACAAATACGCTAAATGTGATAGCCAGAGTTTATCAGAAGAATAATGCTAGATTTCAAATTTGGATTCTGTGAAGAATGCTTGGGCCTCTGAATGCAATTCAAAGAGCCTGATTAAAACTTTTCCCTTGGAAATAACCGCACTTCATTACATAAAGCAAGCTTATTGTGGTTGATTACCCATTTTATTGCACAAAATTATAAACAGTCGTGAATTAAGAGCCGGGCGTTTAACAAAATTCACTGTCTTCAGAGTTTGATCTAAAACAGTATTTAGTCATATGGACACTGTTTTAATAGCTGATGTGAACCAGTTTGTTTAGGTTTGTACGTAGCATTTAGATATCTAAGTGTGCGAGGTAAGGGAAAAGGCGAACTAGAGTTAGGTTACGATTCGTTAAGCTAAATGTTTGGAAAAATCTGCTGTTTGTTTAACTTCAGAGGCATAAGTAGTAGACGTAGTCGCCGCCATAGATGCTAATTTAAGGGTGCATCTGACGGAAAATGTGCATGTATCTGAGTAAGAAAGATAAATATAAAAATGTATAAAAAGGCGCCATTTTATATTTATTGTAAGCATTAATTTATATCTTTTATGTAAAATTTTTACACCCAAAAATGATGTAATGTACCAATAGTGGTCCAAGTATCATAGTTTAAGAAACCTTGTTCTAGACGCATGAGATTATTTTTATATATTCGTCATTTACATTATGCTTGCTAATGTTTGCTTCTATTGTTGAAGTAAGCTTTACTATCAGAGTTTATCGGGAATCATTAATTTTTGTTCCTACGTTCAGATGTATCAGTCTTGACACATACTAGCAAAAAGTACAAACATCTTCGGATCAATTGGAAACTGACTTTGGATCTTAAAGAATTTAAATGCACTTACAAAAAAAGTTCTATTTTATTTTTTTAAATTTAATTATTAAAGTTTATAAATAACGTATTTTGAGTGAAACTGCGAGTTACTTTGAAATTAACTCTTAATAACCATGGCAGTGTGATCTCACGAACCATGACGTTTTCATATTTTCTAAAAAATTCATGCAAAAGAAGAATTTTCCCTATTTCTTTTCAGTTTTATAAACAATCTTTTAAGTTTTCCATAGCTTAAATGCTCGAATCTTGTAGCCTTCAAAGTATTTCCTATAAACTTTTTGTAGCTCTCTGTAATACCTGAATGTGGTGCTTTCTTATTTCTTTCATATCTGTACACATGACTGCCTTTTCCAAATTTTCGAAAAAGGATATACTGGTTCTGATTTTGAAACCACTGTTTCAAAATGAATGCAGAAATGTGACAGTGAAAACAATGAAACTGAGGATCTTTTTAGAAATGCTTTAGAGGAAAAACCTCATCACGATTTTTGGAAGCAAAATCTTTGAGACTGATCTCTTAGATGTAGAAACTGGCCAAGTGTCGAAGAATAAGAATGAAACACATGATAACAGTGGTGGCAGAAATAAATACATAATTAGAAAATATCAAAGGAAATTTAGATTTAAATGGTTACAGCAAAATTTTGCCAGTTAAATCTGACTCAGATATACCATACTCCATTACGAGTTTGCCTATGAACATAGCGTCAAAATTCAGATAAGTTAAACATACAATTTACTAATTTATGCGTTATTTTAGACGTAATATTAAAGACATGAAAATAAAAGAAAAATACCTAAAGCATCCGGAGTTACATATTCAGAAAACTTAGAGCAGAAATTCTAAAACACAAAATCTGTTTCTTAGATACGTGAACTATGCAAAAGAACACCTATACGCCTCGAGTATTTTGTCTAAAATCTTCAATATTATAAGCATTTAATATGAACACTTCAAATGCGACAAATTTTGCATTCATCTTTAAATGTTTTTAAATTTATATTTATTATTATGTTATAACGTAACAAGTGTTGTATAGGAGTAAATGCTGCTTCTGTTTTATAAATTTAAGATATTGTTACAGCTAAAAAAGAGGTGATAATGTAGAGTCATTAGGCCATTTTGAAGCGGGAGCCTTGAAAAATGTACATTGCCCTCGCCGGGATTCGATCCTGAATCTTTCGAAAACGCGCCGAGTGTGGTAACCGTTACACCATGAAAAGGCATGCAGAAAGGAGGGAGAAAATACCTTATAATAGCTGTGCATTTCTTTAACAGAAACTAAATTGCTTTCTCTGAATTTTGTTGACAAATATGGATTTTACGTTTTATGCTGTTAGCATCTTATGCTGTAGTAAATGATGAATAAATTTATTATTTTATAAAACTAATAGTTATTTAACAAAAAATTAAATTCTTATTTTTATCCAATGTCCCCGAAACCATAATGCATTAAAAGTGAGTTATTATGGTGACTAAGAGCTAAATATTAAGAAAACTGTCAAGGATTATGAAATTATTTTCTTAACTTTTCTAAGATTCATTTTTTCGTTTAAAAAAAACTAATCTAACCATTAAATACTATGAATACTATACATTAATACAAACTGTAAATGAAATATTTCTGTGTCTTCAAATATTTTCGTCTCAAATTAATGTTGTTAAGTAATTCTTTTCTAGGGTATGCATTAGAAAAAAATGGGTTTCCCACCTAAGAATGTAATAATGAAATATTTAGGAAGGTATTTCTTTGGCTTTGTTGACCTCACTTCTAAAGTGAATCTCTTGCAATCAGGATCTCACTTCTCTTGAAATCCAGAGCGCCCAATTCCGCTTTACACCCATTTTCTCGTTTTTTGTTTATCGTAGGAGTCGAGTCTTCGGTTGTTAACCTCGGGTACACCTTAGATGAAAATGGCTTCGAAAGTGACTCCATTCTATGAGAAAATTTTATTGCAAATTTGGTTTTTAGAAACACAAACAACACTTTTTTAAGAACTTAAAAAGTAATTAAATCGCGAAGTTTATTATATTATTCTTAACTTAGAAGAAATAAATAGTAGAAATGGCAATTAGTTTCTGAAAGTTCTGAAAAGTTTCTGAAAGTTCTGAAAGTTCTGTTCTGAAAGTTTCTGAAAAGTTCAACGACAGGAATGACAAATATCTTTATAACTAATGAATTATGAATGTGTTCTCCCCATTTTCGGTGGCTATTTTAGGTAGTTATTTAAGTCCAGAACATGAAGCAAAATTAATAATAGAATATAATAGTAAATAACAACTAGTTAGTATAATAATTATAGCTAAGCTCTTGTTGGTATTCCTGTCATTACTGTGTTAATTTCCATAGTTTTCGTTAAACTTCTTATTGAATTGAGTGCAATTTACGAGATTATTAACAGCACTTAATACTTTTAAAATGCCGTTTTTATTAATAAATATTTTACATGTAGCGGAAAAATAGTAAAATCATAGAAGTTATAACAGTCGTATAACGTGTTCTTACGCTCACATTTTCAGTATTTATCCCTAACATTAATTAAATGCTCGTTTCTAGCTCATAGTTCCTGAATTTACTGCATAAAATGTATATCTAGTCCTAAAGCTTATAGTTTTAGCTCTTTTTTAACTGCGCTCATTTGAGAAGAGTAACTTAGGTTTCAGAGCATCAAGTTACTAACAGTTTTAAAATTTGAATCTAGCTTCATGAAGACAGGTGACTTAAAGCCTTTGTTGTAATCTTCTAACGCTGGCTGCATGGTCGGTTTTTTGTTTTCCCCATGTGCAACATGTATACAGAACAGTTTCCCTTAGAAATTCCTCCACTAGGACTTCCCTCCCTATAGGCAGTTAGCCCTCAAGTGCTTTGCCATAATTAATCACAACGAAACCTAATCAGGAGGTGAGAGAAAATATCATCGCGATGGCTAACGCTCGTGTCAAAAGTTCTCTCTTAAACTCAAGAATTCTATTCTCATTTTCATTAACTAATTTGTATCCCTGTAGGAGGAAAGAAGTGATAGCAAAGGGAAAGCTATAAGATAACTGGTTAATAAACATAAAAATTTCACAAAATTATTAGTATTAGCTATAAGAATATTTTTCTGCTACGGATATTGTATCAATGTACATATCTAAAGTTAAGAATAATCGACAGAAAATTGTTATCCTAAAATTTCTTTAACAGGAGCGGTTCAAAAACCAGGAACACCAGAATATTACGCTTCCGCAACAACAAGAGTTAAAGCTATAGCCAAGAATTATTCTAGAATTGCTTTACTTGCCGAGGAAGCAACAAGACTGATATCAAGATCGTAAGTTAAAATTTTATTTCACTTTTATGTATTAGAAACGGCTATACATTTTATACACTTCTGACATCTTTGTTTCCTCCATTTACGTGTGATGCATTTATAACTGTTAAAGATGAGTGCATAAAATTTATTTCTGTGTTTAAATTAGTGAAATAAAACATCTTAATACTGATTCAGAAGACAAACAACAAAAATCAGCGTTATATTTTCAAATTTTCACAGAACTGTTTCGATGGTTTTACCGAACCATCATCCTCAGCTGCAAAAGCGAAAAAAACCGGTAAAACCATCGAAACTAGTCCTGTGAAAATTTGAAAATATAACGCTGATTTTTGTTGTTTGACTTCTGAATTAGTATTTTTTCGGCGTGTTATTGTGTCTTAATCTTAATACTGATTAAAGCCGCAATCAAGAATAAAATAATATGATAAATAACGAATAAAATTAAACGGACAGTTTTCTTACGAGATTTTATCTCCAAGACTGTGTATTAAGTCTTCAGTGATTTTGATACAGTCTGTGGCTGTAGTTAACAGATAAAAACAAGAAACACGAATCTTGCGTTTCAAAAGGAAAAGTAAACTAATCCTCGATAGCTAATCATAGTTGGACACTTAATAATAGTTTTGACTTTGGTTCTGCAAAAATTATCCATACACCTTCTTCAACTAGTAAATTGGATTTTGTTGACGACATTCACATTCATAAAAATGTTTAGTTAATGACATTAAATTCAACTCAGTACTTCCTAACGCTTTCAAAAGCATAGATTTTCACGTTTCCTTACCATTTTCCTGAACAAATGATGCTGCGTTCATGTTTGCTTTGTCCTTTCCGATTATCTTCGTAAAACCGATCGTTGATTCTCTCATTTTGCAAAAGTATTTTTTCTACAGAACTGTCTGATTTGCTCTCGAAATTGATAGGAATATTCAAAGTCTACATCAAATTAAGTTTTTTTTTGTTTGTTTTGTTTGCTTAAAATAATAAAATGTTTAATACATGTTAATATAAATACTTTCTTGCGTTATATCAATTCCTGCCGCTTTAGTCTTTTAGTATTTGGCATGGGATTTTCTACTATAATAAAAAGTTTTAAAATATTTTGCTAAAATGTATTACTATCCTTTTTAAAATTTTCTTACTAGGAATTTGATTTCAAATTCTACATACCTTGGGAGATTAGCGTCCTCAATGAAGAAAAATCATTATCAATTTTACAGTCACAGTTTTCGTAATTCTTACACTTTAAAGTACATTAGATATAAATGCATGTTGACAACTTGTCACTATTTGACTCATTGACTACATAACTACTCTCATTTTTACCTGAGCACACGCTTCTCTTTCATCATTTGACCTTCTCTAGCTGAAGAAGAAGTTTCGATATTTAAACCTTCAAATTTAGTCCAACAAATTTATGATTATTACTCTGATTTGTTGTTGCATTAACACCTCCAATAATAATTAACTTATTTCTAACTCAAAAATTATCTGTGATGGCAACATGATTTTATACGTTTATATTTCAATCACTGAAAACATTACATTTAAACATACGCTAGCAATGTACAAAAATAAATAGCTTTTACTGCTTTTTTAATGTATATCAGGTACAATTATGGATAGTAACTAGAAAAGAAACTGAAGAAACTAGCTGTATCTTTTTATAAATCATCTTAAAACATCTTCAACTTTAACTCTTTATGTTTTTATATATTCACTCAGACTGCTAGCTATATCTTTTTCTAAATCAGAGAATTTCTTCAAATTTTCGTTATGTTTTAATATATATTCGCTGCGACTGCTAGCTGCATTTTTTTCTAAATCATCTCAGAATATCTTCAACTTTAACTCGTTATGTTTTAATATATATTCACTGCGACTGCTAGCTGTATCTTTTCTAAATTATTTCAAGATATCTTAACTTTAACTCGTTATGTTTTAATATGCCTGTTCACATGCCATCATTCATAGATCTCTTTTGATATCCATTGCAATTATTTGGTTGTGATTTATCAGCGGAAGTTAATTGACTTATTAGCTAATAACATTATTTAATTGGAACTGCCTATTTTTTACGTTCAGAGCTGGATTCTAGAAAGATGATACCACTTAAATTTAATGTGTAACGTGTATACGAGCCAGTTCCCTTAGAAAGTCCTCCACGAAGGCATCCCTCCCTTTAGGCAGATAGCCCTCGTGTGCTTTGCCATAAATTAAATAATCCAATCCAATCCACTGAAATTTGTTGGTTGAAAGAGAATTCATGCCTTACTATAGAAGACTTACATGTACACAATCATATGAAGAATGATAGTCTGTTTTGCTCTACCATACCACTTTCTTTATTGATATAATTTGATACGCCATTTTTAAATGATAAGTCGTTGTACATTTGATACACCGTTGATAAAATATTATATGAAGATGAAATGATATGCCGTTTTTGATAGCCGTTAAATATGATTACTTTAAAATACACTATAAATGAGTGTTATAAATGCGCTATGGACGAAGCGTTGAATAATTTACGACCACTCTGTACAATTCATGCTCTAAAATCTGCCCTCCGTTCTTAAGTACAATATAAATGACCGTTTCGTACAATTTCCTTTCTTTTCGTATATAAATGACTTTGAAGTAATAACAATGAAATAAATAATAAAGCTTCAAAAATAATACATGAACTAAATAACATCTTCTATGTAATGAAAACAATGCAACTGATATAGTAAAACATGTGGTTAATCATAATAAATTTATTGACGTTAAAATATTTATAAATTCTACAATATTTGTTAATTTTACAAGCGTAAACTTCATTTTATGATTTTCTATTAGTAAGCACTTGGTACAGATGAGAGAATTCTGCCCTATAAATTCTGCTCTTAAGTGAAAGAAGTCATAGTTAAACAGGATATACGGAGATGCAAGGAGAAGGGAACGTTCACGAAAAGTTTCATTACTGCATACACTCAAGCGTAGCAGACAGCCGCACCCTTGTAAAAGAAAAATACCCAGACACCTTTCCCGGGATTATGATAATTACTATTTACTTACATACACAGACATGGCTAAGCCATTTTCATTCATCTTAAAATATTTCTTATTTTATGTAAAGCTTAAAGTCTGATTGCTTGAAAGAGTGCTATTGTATCGAAAAATGGATTGAAGAGATTTTTTTAAAAATTTTTGTATGCATATATTTAGAATAGCCGTGGTAGCGAGAGTATAAATTCTTCATTTTGTATTATGAATACTGATACTTATAAATTAAGCATCTCAGTTTGTAGGGTTGCAAGGCTTTTCAGAGCAGGAAACACGAAAAATCGGAAAATGCTCTCGCCGGGATTTCAACTTCGGGTCGTCGGACCAGTTACATCACGACAGCACGCAGCGGGGTAAGATGAAAATTCTTTCCAAGCCATGAGACCCAATCCCGGAAACTTAGATGGTGGTGAATTATTGTCAACACAACTTTTAGTAGCGGTCACTGCAGAGCTATTAGGATAGTTTCGAAACAGGAAAAGTCGAGCTATGTATTTTCTTATTTTCTAGCCGGACGTATTAACCACTTACCCTACGAAGGCACGCAGCTGGGAAGCAGAAAATTCCTTATAAGTTATGTTAACGAAAAAATCTAATCATAATAATTACTTCAAATTTTATTTGTATACAATTCTCTTTTTAATGATCAAGGAAATCACAATTAGGGAGACTTATGGATAATCTGTTACGCTAGAAATACATTTTCTGCAGAATGAATATATTCGTTAACAATATAGGGAGTTTTCTAATAAAAATCTGTAAAATATCATAGAATGTTAGTGAAATTTGCATTTTTACAGATCTGTCGTTTATTCATTATACATATATATATTTCAGTTTTATCGTTAATCAGCTTAAAAGATAAAACACAGTTTGGCAAATTTGAGCATTACAAGTTAGATTGTGTCATTACCAGAAATCAAAATTTTGCTGAACCTGAATGTTCAATGTAAAAATTACTGTTCATATTTTTATTGGATAAAGTAGTATTTTCCCTTTCTGGCTAATATAATGAATTCTTTGTTATGCACGTGGTAATTAGATAAATCTAAAGCTTCTTCACTAGAAAAGACTTTATTTCGAGGAAAAGAGGTTCTGGACAATATGTTATTTAGCAACTGCGTATGTTTTTCCTAAGGTTTTGCGATATTATTTTTCTTAAATCTTTTAAGTCCGATGTTTTCTTTACTTCAAGATGAAATTACGTTAGTTTCAAAAATTGTCCAGAAATAAAACAGATCCTTTTCTTATACGTACGTAAAAATTAGTATTATTAACGTTAATATATAAAATAAAGAAAAGAACTTGTAATTGTTTCATCGTGACAAAATATTTATCCAGTATGTTAATTCGTTTAAAAGGTTAGCCAACATATTTGAAGAACTTATAATAATTCATAATATGTTTGATTTGGTTTATCAGGTTATGGCAAAGCACACTAGGGGTATCTGCCTAAGAAAAGGAATGCCTTCGTGGAGGATTTTCTAACAAAAAAAAAATGCTCGTATATACGTTACACACGGCGAAAACCGCGAAAACGCCCATGCAGGCAACACGCTCGTCGGAACTCAAATTTTGGATTGAACTACCAGTGTTCAGCGACTTTTAACGCTCGGCCGCTAATGGACCCGAATTTGTAATATGAAGTTCATAAATTGGATGATAGCCAGATAAAACATTGTTGCTTTTATATGCTTGAAAACAAAGGTTCGAAGTTTTTATTCACTCATTCATTCCCGTAGGATTATCTATTTTAGGCAGCTGAAGTTTGGATTTCTTCTGCCTTTGCATTTCTTTATGTATACAAAAATACTTTTGATAATTAAGATATTTTCTTTTGATAGAAAATATTTTTTGAAATAATATTGTACATTGCTATGTGAATTTCTGGTTAAAATCATGACTGCTAGGGAGCAGTACTACTTTTATTTGTATGGCTAACACATTAA